CCTGCACTGTGCAGGGCTGTGCCAGGCACGGCCCAGGCCCTTAATGCGCCTGGTGCCAAGCGTGTCGTGCCAACCCGGCACGGCACGTTTGACAACTCTAATGTAGACACTGATTGAGAAGAATGTTCAGAATCTGAGAATTATAGGCACGAAGCAAGTTCCTAAGGGTAATATCTTCTGGTAATGAAAAAAAAATATAACTTAGCATGCAATGGTTTGAACTTTTATCCATTATTCTTGATTAATATTTTTTTTAGTCAAATAACTATATTAGATAAAATGGTATTTTTTTTAGGAAATTAGTCAAAATTATATTAATCAAAAGTAAAAGATAAAAATCCATACACACACTTTTATCCATTATTCTTGATTAATATTTTTTTTAGTCAAATAACTATAATAGATAAAATGGTATTTTTTTTAGGAAATTAGTCAAAATTATATTAATCAAAAGTAAAAGATAAAAATCCATACACATGTACTTTAGGGTACATTCAATAATTTTCTCTTCTTGTTTTATTTCTTTCTCCCACATCTTAAAAGCAAGAGTTTCTCTATAGAATTTAGAAAGAAAATTAATATATCCACCATTATATATTGGTTGTTCCTTAAGATTATTGATATTAACATCCAACTATAAACATATTAATTAAGTTATGTAACAGGCTTATTAATCAAATATTATAGAGATATATTTTTTTTTCCTGGTATGAGACTAATTATATGGTTATATTTATTTCTATTTTTTAAGGTTCAATATACTTTTTAAATTTATGGAGAAATTTTACTTTTTATTTTGTTATTTTAGTTAATAATTTTTGTTAAATTTGTGACCTAACTAAAATCAAATCCTGCCTCCATCCCAGAATCAGAAACCCAAAGAATCATTTAACCCATACCAACAATTAAAATTGGATTGTGATTCGAATCACCATTAATGATAATCAAGATTGAAGACATTAGCAAGGGCACTAGTAGAAATCTGAAATTTAATGACCGTTAATAACCATCGTTAAAAGATTAAACGGCGGTTATACAAACCATAGTCTAATCGCGAGTCATTAAATGTATGTACGATATAACGACAGTTTTTAACCGTTGTTAAATAAAACATTAGACAACGGTTTATAATCAAAACCGTTGTCTAAGATATTCCCAAAATGTCTAATTGGGCAGTTACAGAGCACATTATACGACCGTTTCTTAGAAACCATCGTTATATGTGGAATATGCACCAAAAAATTGATGCTATTTTATTTCTTTTCCCACAGATTAGCCTATTAATCCCGTATTTTACCAATTTTTTAACTACATTTAACATAACTCATATAACATCAAAAATATTACAAATATAACATAAACATATATTACATTTTCGGTACTTCTAAGTGTGTATCATGCGCATAGTTCATGTAAAAGATTATTGAATAGCTCATATATTCCAGCATTCGGTACATTCTACAACCCATTATATGTTTAGTAGGTTACATTACATAAAATAAAACCAAACACCTAAACCTTTAAACTCCAGAAATAATGAGAACTCCACTTAACTTTTTGCAGTTAAATCTCCTATGAATGCTAGGGCCCGTTTGGTTCGCTAATTTGAGTTTTTAATTCGAGTTGAGATGTGATGTTGTGTGAGAGCTTTTTACTGTAACAAAAAAGTTAGATGTGACTATTTCTGAGAGCTTTTTACTGTAGTAAAACTCAAATTCTAAACTCGAATCAGCGAAAAGAACGGGACCTAAAAAGTACTTTCACTACAAAGATACAGATTCCTAGAGCCACTCAACTAGTCAATCTAAACACATCTGGTTATTATTAGAACTAACATGAACAATTGTACCAACAAAATACCAAAAGATCAGAGGAATTAGGATCCAAACCTATTTCTGTGCCCCTTAAAGTAGCGAAGGCATCGATTATTATACATTGAAAGGTACCAGAATGATTCTGCAAAACACAAACAGTAACTTAAGATCAATTTCCACTAGAATCCAAATTATATCTCGAAGAACGTATGACAGAACTCGGATGATGGGTAAAACATATTCGATCAGCTCCTTTCTTATGATATGTGGTATTAAGCAACCTTAATTCATAAACATGAATACAAGTATTCCTCAAAGCTATAGATCTTTGAAACCAAATTTACAATTAGCAAAAAAAAAAAACCTAAAATTGAACGACAATTTCTAAACTCACTTAGCATTTGCAATGTCATAGAGCCGCACTGAATCGTCCTCACTAGCAGTGACTAGTATATCATCCTTACCATGAAAATCAATAGAATTTATTTTTCCACCCTAAAAATAGAATCAGAACTCAGTTTTAAAAATCCAAGAAAAAAAAATGGTGTGAAATGTGAAATTTACAGAACAATTAATATCGCCACAGAAAAAACATACTCTTAATCCCTCAGTCAATAAACAGCTATAATTGGGGAATTGATGAAAACGTTAAATCATACCTCTAGATGCCTTGCACCGAAGTCGTTGACGGAGGAGAGAGGCCAGAATGACGACGACAGTGGTGGAGGAGAAATGTTCCAACTTCGCGCAGACTTAGACAATGAAAATGTGACAGTGGCGGAAATGAGAGAGAGAAGGAGGTCGACGGAGCAAAAGAGAGAGGGAGAAGGTTGGGTAGAGAAGGAGAAGGCGGAATGGGGTGGGTTTTCCTATGGAGGAGCGGAGAGAGAGTGGCGCGAGTTTATGTTCGGTGGGGGATTAAGGATTTGATATTTAAACTTTAAGAAATCGCGCCTAGACGACGGTTTTTAGAAAAAACCGTCGTCTAAGATATAATATTTAATGATGGTTTTATAAAAAATTGTCGTCTAATTCTCTATGGTAGTTGTACAAATTTTATCAAGAGGATCAATGATAATTTTTTTATAAAAAGTGTCGTTAAATATGAGATGTTAAATGTCTCGTTTTTTGTAGTGGGGGGCTGCATGGGACTCCAGATGTGTGCAACTGAAGTGCTGCGGAAGAACATTTTTCTGTGATCCTTAAGGCTTTTTGTAGTGGCAATTAAAAAAAAAGGCTTTTAGCCTGTAATCTTTAGAGATCTTCACAGGATGGAAATCAAAAATGGTAGTATCATAATTATACATATGTTTCTTTTTTTAAGGTAAGATTTCATTCAATTAAAAGATCTTACAGACACCAATAATAATACAGATGATCATGTGGTACAAAATATAAAACACTCGATTCCATCAACAAATTTTGATGAAGCACAAGGAAGATGATGCATGACAAGACTTGATGTAGAGGGAAATTCCTCGACACATCGATTTGAGCATACATAAGGCTCTTTTCAAAACCATTACAAAGCTTTCGATCCAACGAGAGCATGTAATGTGATGTTCTAAGGCCACCAGCATTTTCGTCTAAAATCATAACTAGTGGAACTTCTAACTCGCCAAAATCTAAATCTAGCGGACCACAAACAAACTCAAAAGGTGGGAGAACTACCTCCATTTATTACAAATAAAATACTTAAACTAGGCGGAAGTATCGATGACTTTATTAGACTAAAACAAAAATATTTAAAACTAAAAGCACAACCGCCGTAAACATTCAATAAAACTATAGTTGACAAGAGGACCATTAGGGTAGGAAGAACACTTCTAGGGACAAGCCCACCACCATCAACATCTATAGTCGACACCACTGCCTCCGAAATAAGCCCACCACTGTTCGGAACAAAACCCTGAAAGAGTACATGCACCCAAAAATGTCTCCAAGCCGTCCAGATTCCATCCTTTAAAAGATATCAAATCCGCCTTAATAAAGTTACCCCGCCAAACATAATCACTGCCATCAAAAAGTATAGAAGGATACGAGTCTCGTAACCAATTTTCAGGACTAGAATCCAACGACGCACTTGAAAGCGGTCATGAAATTCCGGTTGACTCACTCTCTCTTTTTCTCTCTTTCTCATTTCTTTTTTAGGGCCGGCTTGATAAGTTTTTTATTATAGATATGCTTCTTAATAATTATATAAGAAAATGAAATTATTGCCAATTTTTAAAATGGACACTAATGTTAGACATTTAAATTATTTTCGCGTATTTGCTAAAAAAAAAAAATTTTATTTTCCCGTATCTTAAAGACCATATATACCACATTAATTTCTAAAAAGAAAATGCGAGGAAACTTTCCATACCAATGCCAATGACACCATAGATGAGGAAAGTTACTTTCTCTATATTTCTAACATTTTATAGACGTATTCTTGCGCTTTCTATTTCATTGACATTAAGCACCAAGCTGCATTATAAATCATTTCCCCTGCACATTTTCTTAAATAATTCATGTTAATCAAAAGCGGTCGTCTACAAGCACCAATAAACAATTAGCAAAAAAATAAAAAAAAAGACACCCAAGTCTACAAACTAGTTTTTTGGGAAAATGACTTCGTCTTAGAGACATTATAAAGTGACAAAATTTACTTTGAAATTTTAATAATACGTTAAAAATGTCGTGGAACTATGAAGTGTGATCAATTAAAACTAATCGAACATAGAAATGTTTGACAAATTCTCCTTTTCACGCGTTCCACTTTCTCTTTTTCAAATAACCTTTTAATTATTTCATTTTTTTTTTAACTTCCATGGAGCAAATTTGTGTACTTTCCTAACTCCAAGACCGTAAAAGAAATTTGCTTTCTCACTTTTCTATCTTGTATTATTCAGATCTTTTAAACAAATGGAAAGAAAGAGGAAAAGAAAAAAAAAATGGTAGTTAATGACAATAAAAAGTCCAATATTTTGGTGGAAATATAACGCGTAGGTCAAAATTTCTGGAAGTCTCAAATCTCGGCAAGCAAGACAGGAAACTAACCCATTCCTATACCGAAAAGCTGGACTCTTGATCTTGGCTGACAGAAAGACACGTGACGCCCATCCAATGGTTTCAAAGTTAACAAATTTTAGCCAATGCAAGACCCTTAATCTATAAATTAAAAAGCTATAAACCAAAGAAGTTCACAAGCTACCCCTTGTCGAAGAAAAACAGAGTTTTAGCCTCACAAAACAGGCGAAAAACCAGGGGCGATCACTTGAACCTCAGAGAACACAAAAGGCAAATAAATGGCAAGAAAATTAGACATGGTTTTGTTTGCCGCCTTTGTGGCGTTGACTATACTCCATACCTCGGCCGTGGCGACAACCTATTTTGTTGGTGATTCTAGCAATTGGGGAATTCCCAGTTCTTCTAATGCTTACTCCAATTGGGCTGCAAACAAGACATTCGTTGTGGGCGACATTCTTGGTATAAACGTGAAACATATCTCATAATCTTTTTTATTGTTTTATATTGCTCATTCTTTAATCGAAGGAACACAGAGTTGAATCTTAATGTATTGTGTATTATTTTTTGTTCTTCTTATAGTGTTCAACTTCACCGAAAACCGACATGATGTAGCCGAAGTGACAAATTCGGCTTATGACGCTTGCAACGGCACCAACCCTATTTTCCGGCAAACCTCGAGCCCTGCGAACATTACCCTTCAAACGGTCGGCGAGCACTACTATATTTGCACCTTTAGCGGGCACTGCAATGCCGGTCAAAAGCTCGCCATCAATGTCTCTAGAGCTTCTTCTTCGGCTCCTGTGCCGGCTCCAGCTCTTGCTCCGCAGCCTTCTTCTCCTTCACCTTCCTCATCGCTGGCACCTACTCCAACAAGAGGAAACCAGACTTACACTGTCGGGGATACATCGGGTTGGACTGTTCTTGGTGCTTCCGCTTACCAAACTTGGGCTTCTAACAAGACCTTTTTGGTTGGAGACATTCTAGGTAAGGAGTCCTAGCTTTCTTCTTCTTCTTTCTTTTGTTTTTGTTTTTTGTTTTTTGTTTTAATTAATTATGGAGGCCTACCTAGTTGAATATCATTAAAAACAGAAAAAGAGTACAAGCAACAATATTTGAAAATTGTAAAATATCATTAGTAGTACAAACTAGTAATAATATCCGGAGGAGATTAACGGCGACGGCGATGGGGTGTGTCGACGGTGGATGGTGGCAGAGTGGGTCGCCGGAGAGTGGTGCACGACATTTTTCAATAGTGGTGCATGTTATAAGACGCCAGTTTATTTTAAAAGAAACATGACAAAATTAAACGGTGTGTTTTTATTTTATTTTGTGCAGTGTTCAACTTTGCGAACGGATCACACGACGTGGCCGAGGTGACCAAGGAAAACTACAACTCATGCAACACCAACTCCACCATCTCGTTGTACACCAATCCGCCGGTGAGAATCACTCTTGACACTGCCGGTGAACACTTTTTCACGTGCCCGTTCCCCGGCCACTGTGATGGCGGCCAAAAGCTCTCCATTAACGTCACCGGCGGCAACAGCACCCGATCTCTCTCGCCGTTGCCGGCTTGTCTTCCACCTTCTCCATTATCACCTTAGCTTTGTGGTTTTAGATATATATCATGATATATATTAGAGTGTAGAGTTTGTGTGAGTTTTTTTTCTTTTCTTTTTCCCTTTTTTTCACATATCTGATTCGTTGCACTATATATTCTGATTCGTTGCACTATATATTCTGATTGATCAGTTTCTAATATAATAAAGTTCATCAGTTTTTCATATATTTCGGTTATGTGTGTTTCTTCTATCAATGTAGTTAGTACAATACAACTTATTTCCTCCCAAATTTTAACGCCATAAGATATCAAATTAATTTTTTAGTCTAGTTCGTTTCGCTGATTCGAGTTTAAAATTTGAGTTGAGATGTGATTTTATTTAATAATTTTTTATTATAATAAAAAAATTAAATATAACTATTTATAAAAATAAAATTTAAATTTTAAATTCGAATCAACGAAACCAACGATACAGTTTTCACATGCTGTGTAAAGAAAAGTGCAATTTGGGTTTGACCCGGTACGAATGAAAGTGACTTAAAAATTAAAATATATGGTTGATTTTGTCTAGAAGCTGGACATGTTCCTACTGCATCAATAACGGGACAAGTGGATTCAGTATTGTACATTTTTTTTAAAAAAAATTAGAAAATGAAAAGAAATTGGCGTCTCCTCATCAATCATCATTACGTCAGTCTCTAAAAAATCTTGTTATTAGCGCTGGCCAATATGTCGCTGTATTTATTTAGTTGCCAGCTAGATTATCCAAAAGTCAAATATAATTTTAGTTTTTTTTTTAGTTAATTGCGATAAGACGCCATAAATTTTACTAAAATAATCAGAATCAAATAAATTTCAAATTATATCATCTCATTTGAAAGGTTGTATTCATGCGCACCTCCCATTGTAATGAATAATACAGGCATTGTTCACTTTATAGATTTAAATTTTTAATTTAAATTAAAATATGATATTTTTTTAAAGTTTTTTATTGTTATAAAAAAAATTAAATGTGACATTTTTGAGATTTTTTACTATAAAAATTTAAAATTAAAAACTTAAATTAGTGAAATAAATGAGACCATAATGTTTCTACATTAACTAATTCTACAAACGTTACTAAAAGAAATTTGAGTTTTTGCTATCAACTTTTTGTTACCAAAATTATGTTGACAAAAAGTACTTTTTGATCACCAAATTTTGATAGCAACAAGATAACATGTTTTCGCTTCCAAATTTAGTCGCCAAAGATAAGGATTTTTTGTAGCGTGAAAACATGACGCCAAAAGAAATTGGGTTACCCACGAGACCTTTTGGCAATCAAAAAATTTTTTGGTATCAATTGAAAGGTCTAACGGTCACAATCTGAAAAAAACTCTCAAAATCTCCTATAAATATTCCTTTATCCCACCTTAAATCCCACAATTCACTCTTAACTTCTCAACTTAATTTCATTATATCTCTCATCTTGTCTCTTTGATTTTGATTCTAAGTTTTTTTCTCGCGATCACTCATTTTCTTGCTCTTTCATTTACAAAGTTTTAAGTTCAATCAATTTCTACAAAATGACCACATCAAACTTTTCTAATTTCACTGCTCTTCATGAGCTTGGTGATGAGCCATTTTTCGAGGATGAAATGATGCCTCTCAACCCCACCCCCACTAAACCGAAAATGCTCCGGTTGATAATGTTTCAGTGTACAACGAGGAAGTTGGAGAACGCAACAGGGAAAAAAGACTGCGAACTTCTCTTGCATGGCAACATTTCACAAAGGAGTCCCGACCAAATCCAAAAACAGGTGAAATGAAAATTCATGCAGTATATAAATATTGTAAAAAGCGCTTTTCTAATAAAAATGGTGGGGGTATTAGTCATCTGGATAGACATTGAAAAGCATGTCTACCGTTGCACCAAGGTGGGAGTGTAGACTCCCGCCAACAAACACTATCACTCACATTACAAGGGTTGTAAAATTTTACATACGATGCACAACGTGCCATAAGGCACTAGCTAAATTTTTAGCTAGTGCCGAATTACCTCTTTCTTTTACAGATGATGCATCGTTCGAAGAATTCATACATATGGCCTTTTGCCCACAATTTAAACGGGTAAGTAGAAACACAAATTGTTCTGATTGCATGAAAGTGTTTTATGCAATGAGATAATCTCTAGTTGATAATTTTAGGTCTTTTAATGCTACTGTATCTTGTACTTCTGATATATGGGAGTGGTGCAATAAAATTGGATATTTATGCGTCACGGTGCATTATGTGGATGATGAATGGGTTTTACAAAAGAAAATAATAGGTTTTCATTTATGTCCATACCCTCATAACGCAAATACTATTTTTAGAACAATAATGGAAATTTTTGGGTTTTATGGGATAGAAGATAAAGTTTTAACTATTACTTTTGATAATGTGTCAGTTAACACGGTTGCAATTAACATGTTTAAACGTAGTTTGAAACCAGCGTTTGGGGGGGAATTTCATCAATGGTGTGCGTGTCACATAATCAATTTAATAGTTTAGGTAGGAATTGAACATATTTCAGTTAATCTAACAAATATTAGAGAATCTTTATCCTTCATATCTAGTTCTAGAACTCGGCTCCAAGAATTCAAATAATATTGCAGGAACAGTCAGATACGCCTAAGAAGGTTCCCAACTGACGTGAGACATAGGTGGAATTCTACCTATTTAATGTTGAACGATGCACTCGCGTATCAACAACTCATCATAACGTATGTAAACAGTAAGAACGATCAACTTTTAATTTTCGATACAGATTGGTAGATTGGTGAGTATTTTTTAAAATTTCTAGAAGTTTTCTACAATGCTACTGAATTACTTTCCGGAGTTTATTATCCTACTGCACATTTAGCTTTACATCAACTATTTAATATTTTAGAAATATTTTCTTATTATGGGGATACTGAACATTTTGGAAACATAGTTAAGCTAATGGAAACTAAATTTAAAAGTTATTGGTCAAGTTGTCCTATATTATATGCATTAGCAACAATTTTAGATCCTAGGCGCATAGTAGATGGGATTGAATCTTTGATTACTGCTACAGCAGCAAAATTAAGTATTGATATGCTACTAACTATTACTGATGCTCGAAAAATGTTAGAAAAGTTATTTGGTTTGTATGAAGTAAAATACAACACAGGTCAAAAAGAACAGGAAACTTCGACTTCAACTAGCAGTTCGGGGCCTAAAGGCTCGTCGGGTAGTTTCTTGAAGAAGAAAGAGAAAACAGCAGGATCGTCATCAACACAAGCATCTACCGAACTGGTAAAATATTTTGAAGCAAATTTTATAATTGATGACAACAAACTGGATATCTTACAGTGGTCGAAGAACAAGACCGATCGTTTTCCAATACTGTCCTTAATAGCTCGTGACATTCTGACAACTCCAGTGTCAACGGTAGCATCAGAGCAAGCATTTAGTACAAGCAACTGAATTCTTAATGAGAAGAGAAGCATAATGCATCCAGATATCTTGGAGGGGCTAATGTGCATTAAAGACTGGGAAGATGCCCAAAGATGAAAACAACAATATACAGATGATTCAATGCAAGACTATTTTTCTAACTTAGAAATAACATAATCTTTTGGAAGCACTTAGGTTTTGTAATTTACTTATCCTAAAATACTGCACTCTTTTTTCCTTCGCTAAGATTTTGTCCCGATCTCCCCACGGGTTTTACTTGGCAAGGTTTTTAACGAGGCAGTTATTTATGTATACTTATTCGTATTATCTCAATTCAATAAAATCACATCTTTTTTAGGCACATGATATATTTTCTTTGTTTCTTTAATTAAATTTTGAAAAAAAAAAATTAAAAGGGTTAGGGCTGGCCCATGAAGGGCCTCGGCCCAAGCACGGCCCTAGCCCTTATGGACTAGGGTCACGGGCCAATTCCGAGCCTGAGAGTTTCTTCTCAGGCCCAATCCTGGCACGGCCCTGCACTGTGCAGGGCCGTGCCAAGCACTGCCCAAGCCCGCCAAGGGCTTGGGGTCGGACGTGCACGACACGTCTGACAACTCTATATCAGTAGTTATGTTTTTGCTATCAAAATTTTGTTTTCAAAATACAATTTCAACAATAAAAACTAGTTGATGCTAGAAAATATGACCTCATCCGAAAATAATTGCGCGCCGAGGCGAACATTGTTGCTACCAAAGTGTTGGTCTCTAACAATTGTTTCGGAGACCAAAATAATGTTGTAACGAATGGCCATAAATCGATATTAAATAAGTTTTTTGGTGGCAAAAAATATATATTCACAAGTATATATTTTCAATATATGCTTATTTTATTTTTATTTATTTTTTTGTTCGTGCTATGAGTAAGTGAAAATAACCATTTAATATCATCCAAATACATATTATACATATGACACATTGCAATTTTTTTTTTTAGATTTATACTAGTATAAAGAAGATGGTTTTCAAACATATCTTATACAAAAAGAATAGTGTAAAGTATATTTTCTTAAACAAATTAGTATCTGACATTGAAAATAATACAGTCAGTTTTCTGCTACAAAATTCATCAATTGTAGCTTATTATTATATTTTGCCACCACAGTTTGGTAGCAGAATATGATTCGTTGCCACAAAATTAAAGATTTGGTAGTGAATGATCATTTTTCACTACCAAATGTGTGATTTGGTAGAAAAGGTCTTTAAAATATAGTTTTTCAATATATGCATGTGTCAATTTTTTTTTTTGTTCATATCATAAATAAATGAAAATGTCCTATTTAATGTTATCCAAATAGATATTATAAGTTAAATTTATTTACATTAATTAATAATATACTTACATATTGTAAAGAAAGCATGTCTTAACTAACTAGTGCATTTTTCTTAATTGCTTTTTGGATTGTGATGACAAAGACCCAAAAACTGGATGAGATGGACGGTCGACTTCTTGATTGCTTTCTGGATGTTGTCACTGAACTTGGTGGCCCTGAGAGCATGTTAAATTCTTCTACGTCGGTCCAGTTCTTTTTCGTCGGTCCAGTTTTTTTTTTTTTCCGTTAAGCAATTTTTTTTTTTTTTTTTTTTCTGTTAAACAAAATGGATTATGTTTAAATTGCAAAACAAAGCACTGTTTATGTTATATGTTTAGTTTTGAGATTTAAGTTCATTCATGGTTTTTTCCTAAACTCACAAAGAGACATTTTTCTCTAAATTTCTGTTTTCGTTTCTGATTTTTTTATTTATTTAATTTTTCCATATATGCAGGCTTTTTCATATTTGTGCTATTATTTTGACGGTAATAAGTATGAAAAGATGGAGAAGACTGAAGGCCAATGTGATATTATACTCGTCTCTGTTCTGGCATTTTTGTAGTTCAAAGAGCTAAATGTATAAAATTATATACTAGTGTTCTACTTGATTTGTTTCCAAGGATTTTTCGACTTTCTTTTCAGTTTTTGCAGATTCTTAGAATCTGTATCATTTTCAGTTTTCCAGATTTTTTTGGGGGTGCATTTTTTGCTAGTCTATTCCTGTTTTTCAGCTCTTGAGTTTACAGTCTATTGAACTTAGATCTTTAATTTAGTTTAATGAAAGAAGTATGGAGAATATTAATTTGTTTTGGGAGGATTTCTGTTATTGGATTTGGAAACAGCTTACTCGCACTGGAGTTTTGGGTCTAAGTGCTAATATTCGCTTATTTATTCATGTGTATATATATATATATATTATATACATATGATGGTCATGGGATGCATTCCGTGAGAAATTTAACATAATTAGAAGGAAAGGCTTTACTGGCCAATGTTTTGAGAGTTAGGAATTGTTTTACTAAAAAATAAAAATAAAAAAAATAAAAAAAAAAATAAAGAGGGAGCAAAATGTCACATGTTAAAAAGTTAATGAACTAATTGAGCAAATTACTCTCTGATGTTTTATTTTTTAACAGTTTTGATTTCTAACACTAAAGTTGGCGGATATTTTTAAAAATTTTACTTAGATAATTACACTTTTATCGCACAATAATTAATATTTTACAAAAATAGTTACATTAATTGTAGAAAAAAAAAATCTTTACTACTATTAAAAACCCTTGGGAACTAAAGCACTTTGTACTCTATATGAGTATTTTTATAAAACATTCATCCATTGTATTATAAGGATGTGATTGTTTATATGAAATTTTATATATAAATACTTCATCACTATTAATGTCAGTGTCCAAATGACTAAAAACAAAAGTTCATTGAACAATTTATCAAAAGTATAAATTCGGGACAACGAAATAACGTAATACTTATAAATAAAAGACTACGGTCTACGAGTGTAACTCCAAAAAGTAAAAAGGACCATGATGGCATAATCTAAAATGACAACAAAAAAGGGGACATTATAAATTAATTTAGTTTTTTTTTCCTACTTTCATTGAATGGAGAAAATTATAAATATTTAACTATACAGGCAGAAGTATAAGTAATTAATTCATAAGATTAACACGTATACATATATTATCAAAAACAAATAAATCATAAAAAAAAAAAAACATCGTATTAAGCATAAACATGATATAAATCCGGTCACGAATCATAACAAGTAGTATGCAGATTTTGTTATTTTCCCCAAATTAAGGCGATCTCACCAACCTTTTAAAGTAGGGCTCATCATCACCGATGATAAGCAAAATTATGGGGACTAAAACTTTGAAGAACAATAACGCCAAGAGGGGAGAAATGACAAGAAAAAAGAAAAGAACGAAGAGAATTAGTTTAACCACCACAGAAGTTGAAGATATGAGACCTCCAACAAGTGAATTCTTGTCTTGGACTATCTTTAACGATGCCATGCTACTCAATTTACGTGACACCTCTTCCACTATCTCCCTTACAAAATTTGCTTCATCCCTGGAAGAATATGATCGAATCATCCAACAATATCATTATATGTAAATCAAAAGATTTAAAATTAAGAGTCAAATCGCTATCCGGTGACAATTAAAATGCGTATGACTTATTGAATTTAAACAAAGCAACTAATAACCTAAGAAAACAAAAGAAACAAAAATTTGATTTTGTCCATAAAATGGAGTACAAATCGAATGCCTGGAGGATTTCAAATTTTTTATCCGATTAAAAGAGGGGGGAGAATAGAGAGATATTCTTAAGATCCTTAAACAAAACCTGATATAACTTCCTTTACAATAGCAACTCGAATTCCTACAAGCTTTCTAAACCATAAACCTTGTAATTTAAACCGTTTGGCTACCATTAAAATTGGCGCAGCTGCATAAACATGAATTAACATTAGAGATCAGACTGTCCCACATGAGATTTTAAGTTCAACTAACAAGTGATCCTTTAACATGGAAAATTTTCAAGCCCTCACAAATTAAAATAAAAACTCAGGGCTTGTTATTTTGAGTGAAAAACTCAAAAAAATGCAACTTAAGTTACAACTTTATTCGAGTTCATGTTCTTTTAAGTTAAACTCGAGTTTAAACTCGAGTTCAAACTCGAGTTTATGACTAAAACACGAGTTCAAGTTTCCCCTTCAACTCGAGTTCAGAAACTCGAACTCAAATTAATGAACAATATTTTTTCTATTATTAAAAATGTTATAACTTTTTCGTTTTAATTTTGATTGAGATGATTTTTTTTCTATGCGTTGACAATGAAAAGACGAATAAAACCCGACCCATATACCCAATTAAAATTTTTCATCGGCGTTGAGTTTTTATTAAAATACTATCTAAATACAAATTCAAGTTTGACTCACTCAAACACAAACTCAAAAAGATTCTTATCTCAAACCATAACTCAAATATACACAACCAAACACAAACTCAAGTTACAAGTTCAACTCAAGTTATAACTCAAATTCAACTCAAGAATTATACTTGTTATGGGGGAAAATATGGAGGACATGTAGAGGGGGGACAACATGACACGTGGCCTTAACCTCTCCTCGCAAAGCAGAACCCTCGACGTCTAGGACCCCCTTCCCTTCCGTCGTTAAGGGCCCGAGTAAGAAGCCTAACTTAGGGCGTCGATTTCATCTGTCGTCGCCAGGTCGTACCGTCGACCTTACAACATAGAAGTCCACCGCCAATAAGAACAATTGGGCTAAACAACACTGGCGACGAGGGGAATGCTCCTTGGGGGAAAGCCTGACATGGCAAGTTGCGTAAGGGATGTCCACAGTACAGGCATTAAATGCAAACTCTTAAACCGCCCCTACGGGGGACAGAAAAGGGTTACAGCTGTGCACAGAGCCGTAATGGGAGACTAATTGGCTGAGTGAACAGTGCGTAAAAAGTGATTAGTGGGCTACGGGCTGGGCTTAGAAAGGCAGACCACTTGAGTGCTTGTTCAGCCTACAGGAGAAAACCTCTCCAACGAAGGAAGCTCGGCTATAAAAGGAGAGAAACTTCATACGGAAAAGAGGTTGATCTTTCCGGAGAAAGAAAGAACAAAAGAGCAATTTGTAAATTGTAACACTCTAAAAAAGGAATGACAAACCACAGTGAATGTAGCTCTTTATTTTATAAGAGTGAACCACTATAAATCTTGTGCGTTTTCTTGCTTTAAGTATTTTTTCTTATATTGCCTACTACACAAAAAATACCACAGGCACATCAAACCCCTACACATAACCGATTTTTAAGCCGGTAATCTGATGGGAAACCCAGAGGTAAACCGGCCTGTTTTTGTTGGTAAAAATTCACCGTCGACAATTGGCGACTCCACTGGGGACGACACGCGTTTGACCCCCAGCAACAACAATATAATCAGCAAGCATGCCTCCAAGAAGAAGAATTGAGGCCAACAACCAAGCCAGCCAGATGGACGAGACCGCCACTCATCCGGTGAATGACGGGGTGGAGGAGGTTCCATCCCCGGTCAGGAACGAGGTCTTACCCCCAGACGTGCCGCGGCCGGATCCTGTACAGATGCAGGCCCAACTAGCCACCCTAACCGATCTGGTACGTGGACTAATGACTGTGGTTGAGCGCTTGGATGGAAGAAACTTTATGCCACCTATAGAAGACGTCCCGAGGCCGCTGGGACCTGCCATGGCTGAAAACCCCAACCTTAATGACCGCCCACATATCTTAGAAGAGATCGGGGATAGTGATAATCAAAGGGGCCAGCCCAGGCCCCGACCCTCCCAATCCTCCGGCGGCCGTTTAAGGGCTTCCGAACTCCGGGCTCCCGAGGACCTGATACCAAGAGGCCGGGGAAACACCGAGATACTACCCCAGAACCCAGGAAGAAACCCACTGGGAGACTCAGGGTCAGTACAGGCGGGCGGGCAGGCAAGAGGCGGACCCAACGGTTAAAGGGCAGAGGCGTCGAGAGTAGCTAGCTCAGCCATCTCAACAGAGGAGGCGCGCGCCATCATGGAGCGCATGGCCAGCCTAGAGCAAAAACTCACTAGGGACGTAGCAGGCCTGAAAAAGAACATAGGGCGAGTGGCTGAGGTGGTAAACGTCGACATCACACCTAGCCACACACACGACCACCCGAAGAGATAATGGCGCCACCTCTCCCCGACATATACAGGTCGCCGTCGATCCCACCATATGATGGCCGAGGGGATCCCGACGATCATTTAGAAATGTACACGGGGCACATGCTCTTACATGGGTATGCTGAGGAAATCATGTGCCGAGCCTTCCAGAACCATTTAACGGACTCTGCCCGAAGATGGTTTCGGACGCTGAGGCCAAATTCTATCTCGAGCTGGGATGAGCTGAAGGAAGCATTTTTCCTCCAATTCATAGGGGTTAAAAAATATGTCCCCCCGAAGTAGAACCTAACGACGATATACTAAAAGCCGAACGAGTCATTGAGAGAATGGCTTGCGAGGTATGGGGAAGCTGTCACCGCCACGATGGATATAACAGACAGAGAGGCCTTGATGGGGGCATTATCTAGTATGAAAAAGATTACCCCCTTCAAGAGAGAGCTGAACCGAAAGCCCCCGTCCAGCTACAAGGAATTTCTTGCGCGAGCGCAGGGATACATCAACGCCGAGGAGGCAGACGCAAACGAACCCGAACACAGGTCGAACAAGAACAAAGTGACTGAACAAGGGTTGACGCCAACAAAGCGGGATGAGAAGAAACGTCCAGGTGGAGGAAGCGGAGACAAGTAGCCAGCTGCAACGTCGAACGCTCTAGAAGCCAAGAAGCTAAGGCAAGAGGAGAACCGTAAGCCTCGGTTGTTTCAAAGGTATGATTCCTACCACGAATTAACAGTAGGAGTCAGGAAGTCTTCAATCAGGTCGGCTGCAGAAATCTGTTGCACCGCCCAGAGCCAATGAGGACAGATCACAGCCGAAGGAACCAGAAGAAATTCTGCAGGTTCCACGGCGATGTCGGCCACCACACCAACGATTGCGCCGACCTCAAGGATGAAATCGAGAGAGTAATCCGCGAAGGGAGGCTACAAGAATTTAAAGCTGAACGAAGACCTCGAAACAATGGCCACGGTGGGCAGAATGACGGTCGACGCAGAGAGGAGAACCAACGTCTCGAGGACCGAGAACCTGTCGGCGTCATACGAACTGTCATCGGCGGCCCCTATATAGGAGGAGACTCAAGGAGATCCCAGAAGGATTACGCCCACGAGGCTAGAAGGGTTTACCAGGAAAGATTCTGGAGTGTCTCCGCTGCAAAAACCCCACGATATAGCAGTGTCGATGTGGCGTTTAATGAGGACAACGCCAGCGGAGTTCACTTCCCCCACAACGACGCATTAGTAGTGGAAGCCATGATTGGGAACCACACTGTATGCCGAATCCTGGTAGACAATGGGAGCTCGGTGGACCTCTTTTACTCCGACTGCTTGGAAAAGATGGGGATCCGAAAGGAGCAGTTGGAGAAGACCTTTAGGCCATTGTACGGTTTCACCGGGGACTCCATCCCCTCAGGGGACTATCTGGTTGCCCATAACCGCCGGAGAAAAACCCCGAAAGACCATTACAATGGCCAACTTTGTGGTAATAAATGGGGGCTCTCAATACAATGCTGTAATCGGGAGACTGACCCTTCAGGCGCTAAGGGCAATAACCTCCGTCTACCACCAGAAGGTCAAGTTCCCTACCCCAAACGGCATAGGTGAGATGAAGAGCAACCAGTATGAAGCTAGGGTTGCATATTCTGAGACCCTCCGTGGATATGACCAGCCAAGGCGACAGGAGGCCAGGATGGTCTATCAAAACACTGTTGAAGACATAGATCCCAGGGTTTAAGAGGAGGTCACCTGGTCCCAACCCATCGAGCAATTGGTGGAAATCTGAGTTGATGAAGGCGAGCCAACCAAAGTACTAAAAATGGGCTCAGGCTTAGCCCCCTCACTCAAGATTGAGGTTGAAGACTTCCTCAAAAAGAACTTAGACGTCTTCGCCTGGAACCATGCCGACATGAAAGGGATCGACGCCGAGATTATGTGTCACTCCCTGAACGTTGACCCCTCATATCCTCCCAAGCGCCAGAAACGTCAACCAATGAACCCAGAGAGGTATGAGGCGCTAAAAGAGGAGGTCGACAAGTTGATCAACAATAGGTTCATCAGGGAAGCCCATTACCCGCGTTGGGTCTCAAACCCCGTTTTGGTGGTCAAGCCTAACGGGAGCTGGAGGACATGCGTCGACTTCAGCGATCTCAACAAAGCCTGCTCGAAGGACGGCTTTCCACTCCCTCGAATAGACCAGATGGTCGACGTCACAGCAGGGTATGAAATACTGAGTTTCATGGATGCCTACTCCGGATACAACCAGATCCCTATGCATCCAGCCGACGAGGAACATACACCCTTCATAACCGACAGGGGCCTCTACTGCTACAGGGTAATGCCTTTTGGCTTAAAGAATGCGGGGGCTACCTACCAAATGCTCGTGAATAAAATGTTCGCTCAACAGGTCGGCAAATCAATAGAAGTCTACGTCGACGACATGCTTGTGAAAAGTGCCAGGGCAAACCAACACGTCGACCACCTGGGTGAAATGTTTGGTGTATTGAGAAAATACCACATGAAACTAAATCCCAAAAAATGTGCCTTTGGAGTTGGGTCAGGGAAGTTCCTTAGTTTCATGGTCAGCAACCGGGGGATAGAAGCTAACCCTGAAAAGATTAAAGCCTTGCAGGATATACGGTCCCCAACTAAACCAAAAGAGGTACAGAGGTTGACAGGATGTGTCACCGCCTTGAACAGATTTATATCAAAGGCAACAGACAAGTGCGTCCCCTTCTTCGATGCTTTGAAAGGAAGTAGGCGTTTTGAGTGGACACCACAATGCGAAGAGGCATTCCAGAAATTGAAGGAGCATTTGGGCAAGGCTCCAGTCCTGTCAAAATCCAACCACAATGAGGAGCTTAGCCTTTACCTCTCCGTGTCCCAACACGCCGTAAGCTCCGTACTAATAAGGGAAGAAGAAATGGTACAGTTGTCAATTTACTATGTAAGCAAAAGACTACTCGACGCCGAGTCAAGATATACCAAAATGGAACGTCTGGCCCTTGCCCTGATGGTAGCCTCAAGAAAGCTTCGGCACTATTTCCAATCTCACAAACCATCCGTTGAGACAAGTGCTACAGAAGCCTGAAACTTCTGGTCGACTTCTCAAATGGTCGGTAGAGTTAAGTCAGTACCGAGAACAGCGATCAAGGGCCAAGCGCTGGCCGATTTTCTGGCCGAGTTCTCCCATTGACCGGCTCCTGCCAAGCCAGAAGAAGTCGAGAGTACAGAATGGAAGCTCTACGTGGATGGAGCGTCAAGCGATAACGGGTCAGGAGCCGGCGTCTTGTTGATCAGCCCAGAAGGCCACAAGATCACCTCGGCGGTTCGATTCAAATTCAAAGCGTCGAACAATGAGGCAGAATACGAGGCGCTAATTGCAGTGTTGCGATTGGCCAGTCACCTAAAGCTTAAGAGGCTCAGCATCTTTAGCGACTCTCAACTGGTCATCGGTCAAATGAAAGAAGAATTCCAAGAGCGCGGTGAGAAAATGGGTGCGTACTTGAGGAAAGTAAACGAAGAACTCATCAAGTTTAAAAAGTACGAGATACTGCAAATACCACGAGCCGAAAACGCAAATGCCGACGCTCTCTCAAAGCTTGCATCTTCGAAAGATTCTGACGCACTAGGAGTCGTTCCCATCGAGGAACTGGAGCGGCCGACCATTGAGGAAGTAGCTGAGGCACTAATCGTCCAAATAGGTGAAAATTGGATGACCCCACTCATCCAATACCTAATGGATGCACAACTACCAAACAACAAAGACGAAGCCAGACAGATCAGGTATAGAGCCGCCAGGTACTTATTGTACGATAGTTTGCTTTACCGACGAGGCTATTCAACACCACTACAACAGTGCCTGGATGATGATGAAGCCCAGAGGGTCTTCCGAGAAATCTATGAAGGAGTCTGCGGTAATCATACTGGGGGGCAGTCTTTAGCTCTTAAGGTTTTGAGGCAAGGATACTATTGGCCCATGCTAAAAAAGGATGCTTTCCAATACGCCCGACATTGCGATAAGTGCCAAAGGTACGCCACAATTCTTAGAGCACCCCCAGAAAATTTAACCTCCATTCTCAGTCCATGGCCCTTCGTCAAATGGGGGGTTGACCTAATCGGGCTATTGCACCTTGCACCCGGGGGCTTTAAATTTGCCATCGTTGCGGTAGATTACTACACAAAGTGGACAGAGGCAAAGGCTCTAACTACAACCACAGAAGCAGCCTGCACCAACTTTATGTGGAACGACATTATGTGCACGTTCGGGGTCCTCCACTCGATAGTGTCCGACAATGGGAAACAGTTCGATAATGCCACAACACGAAGGTTTTGCGACAGCTTGGGCATTCGAAAGGATTTCTCGGCGCCGATACACCCACAATCTAACGGGCAAGTAGAAACAGTCAATAAAATATTAAAGTATACCCTGAAGAAGGAGCTCGACGATCTAAAGGGAAAATGGGCCGAGGAACTCCCCAAGGTCTTGTGGCCATACAGAACGACGAGCCGAAGCACCACGGGCGAAACGCCCTTCTCCATGGCATATGGCATCGAGGCGGTACTGCCCATAGAAATTAAGACGCCGACTCTAAAAACTGTGGTCTACGACGACGACGGTAATACAGAAGGCATGAATGGAGAACTTGACCTATTAGAAGGAAAAAGGCTTGACTCCCAGTTACGCCTCGCCGCCTACCAGCAGAGGGCAGCCCGATATTACAACAAAAAAGTCAAAAAATGAAGGTTCGCCCCAGGAGACCTAGTATTAAAAAGGGTAACACAAAGTACAAAATCCAAAAATACTAGTCCTCTGGGCCCAACTTAGGAAGGACCCTACCAAATAAGAGAAGTATTGTGGCCGGGTACCTACATCTTGGAAAGCCTCTCCGGCAAAAAGGTTCAGCATCCATGGAATGCAGAACAGTTAAAGCTATACTACCAATAATGTACGTAGTTTTTTAAACGCATCTTAGTTACATTTTTGGCAATTTAAATAAATTATGAATTTATAGTAATATTTTCCAAAAGTAAGAAGAATTCACCCATCGAATAAACTTGTCTGCTTAAAAAATTAAGGTATATTAAACAGACAAGGGGGCAATAAGGGATCTATGGATCACCGGTAAAAAAAACTTAGAAAATCGTAAAATTTTCTAAGGCGACGACCCAAGGGGCAAAAGCTAACGCCGACTCTTCCAAGGAAGAAAGGCGATAAAACACTTAGAAAATTTTACGAAATTTTCTAAGGCGACAACTCCAAGGGGCAAAAGCTAACGCCGACTCTTCCAAGGAAGAAAGGCGAGGAAACACTTGGAAAATTTCATAAAATTTTCTAAGGCGACGACCCCAAGGGGCAAGAGGTAACGCCGACTCTTCCAAGGAAGAAAGACGAAGAAAAACTTAGAAAATTGTACGAAATTTCCTAAAGATGAACGACCCCAAGGGGTAAAATCAACAACGACTCCTTCAAGAGGGAGAGGCGAATGCATAATAAACAAATGAGCAAGGTATGAAATCTACTGACTTTTTATAAAACGTAAATGAAATAAAAAGAGGTTCAAACCAATGTCATATTTGTTACAGACAGTAGCAAAAAAAAAATCTTCAGGCCTCGCCGCCAACCGTTGAGTCATGACCAGGCGGGGAAGAGTTGTCGTCGCCAGCAAGAAGATGAGCATTATAAAGGAAGCCCAAGTCCCACTCAGGATGCTCTTGTTTTATCAAATCGAAAATTTGTTGACCAGCGGATTGAAAATCCTTGGTACGAATGTCGATGAGCTCCGGAGAAGCCTTTAACTCCTCAATAATCTCTGCACGTTTGGCATCAAAAAATGCTGCAGCCTTGGCTTCGGCTTCTTTCTTCCCCTCGGCCTTTCCCTCAGCAAAACGTCTCTTCACCGCCTTAGTTGCTTCTGCCAACTTCGTCTCAGATGTATCTACCCGCTTTGTAAGGTCCTCAACCGAGGCGGTTAGCCTAGCCAGTTCACCTTCCAAACTCTGCCATTTGGCCACGGCCACATCTTTCTCCTCGGCGGCGTTCGTACACTTAGTCTTAGCGTCATTGAGAAGAGAGTTAAGCTCGGCCTTCACGCTGTCCATCTCTTTATCCTGCTCCTTAACCTTAATTAGGTCGAGAAGGTTGAGGATGGCGAGGATTAGGCCCTGAAAAATTGGAGGTCAGAAAATAAAAATACAAAGCGGCAAAACCAGCAAAAATAAAAGGCAGCTCGATTAAGTCTTACGTGAATTTGGAAAGAGATCTGCTTCTGCTGACGATCAACCAAAGAAGACTGAGGGGCAGCAACCCAGTGCGGCTCAAGAAAAGACTCATATAAAGCCTGGAAGACAAGGGAGAAGCAAGGAGAAAGTTTCAGCATCGCCCCAATCTCGGCGTCAGAGACGTCTGGGACTTAGAATTGGGATCCATAATTTTTGCCCCCGGGATAAGCACGCGTTCCCTCGGTGCCAAAGGAATGTCTACGTCAAGAATGGGGACTGTCGGCGTCCATGTTTCTACCACTGGCGTCTTCTCTTTGCGCCTCGTTTTTAGCGCAGGATCCTCATCCGACGCCGAGGGGACCCTTGTGGCTTTCATTTTCCTCGGCACCTGAGAAGAAGAGCTGGCTTTCTCCTTTCCCCTAGAAGGAGATTGTTGGCTCGGCGGGGGCACCTGACGTGGCTCAGACGGCTAACTGCCGGGGAGCTGGATCCTTAAGGATGCCATTTCTACAGAGACGACGAGACAAAGATATGGTCGACGCTTGGATAAACAAAATGCCATTAGAAGAAAGGCAGCGGGAACAGGGGTTTACCTTCGTCGCTTAGATGGAAGTATTCACGGACAGCGTCGAGGCCAGTAGAGTCTAGGAGATTGAGAATTAACCCGGCACTTCGAAGATTGGCCTGGGTCAGGAGGGTGTCAATATGGCGAACCTCAGACGGGAACGAGAAGGCATTCTCAATCCTCGCCAAACTGTTTCCAGAGAACTTCGGCCGGTCCTGACTCACTGTAAGATAAAAAGACTGTCAGCGTAAGAAGGAAGAGAGCGGAGTAAGGTAAAAGAAAAGGAAACAAAGTCTCACCTATGTTCCCAAACGACGCGTGCACCTTCCTTTGGCGGGGCAAGCAATCGTCGGGATGAAAATTAAAGGGTCCACGTATCATAAAAAAACATGGGTTTCCACCCATGTGACGACGAGGGAATGCCCAGAATTAGCTTGCCAAATCTGGGCTGAGAACTCCCGTGTCCACTCAGAAAATACCACCCCTCGCACTTGGCAACGTGGCACAGTCTGTACATAAATCTAAACTCATCCAGAGGAAGATCCATGTCAAACTGCTGGTTCTACAAAATCTAGGCACCAGCAAAGCAGTACCAGAAATTTGGCGCCAGTTGGACGGGAGAAATACCATAAAAGTGGCAATAATCTTTTACGAAGGTATGAACCAGAAGGGTCATCCCCGCGGTAACGGTCCTGGTATAGACAGGGAGGAACCGGTCGGGGGCATACTAGTCCTAAGATGCATGTCTGAGAAGAGGTATTCGAACCACCTCCCGTCAATGCATCATTCCTTCACCGCCCAGATGATGTCCTTATTCCAGACTCTCGACGCCACGGTGTCAACTGTGAAGGAAGGCCAATCCGGGTCTCCACTTGTAGCAGCCAGCGGGGCATCCACTAGAAAAGCGGCAACCCCACACACGCTGCCACCTGTAAAAGGCCTCCTGTCGACGTCTTCGTCGATCATTCGACAGACGCTGTCATATGTACCGCTACCGTCGTCGCTTGGGCCGGCCATATGTTCCTCGACTTCCCGCAATAGTGAGTCGCAGTCCGACGAGGAAGATGACCATAAAATCTCCGCCACAGAAGGGGAGTCTTGTTGTACAACAGATGGTTCCCCTCGACGGGTGTTTTTTGAGGCCATTGTTCTGGTAATAAAAAAGACAATGAGCTACGTCAAAATCCTAAGTCGAGAGGAAGGAAAAAATGACGGTTATTCTAAGCGACGACCATTCTAGACAACGACTGCTAAAACACCTTAACATAACGCCGACCATTCATATGAAAATGGTGACGACGAATGCTCGTGACAACCAAGGTTCATCAGAACCCAGAAGCCAGACTCGCATTCAACCAGGAAGCAGGAAAAACTACCCTATGTGGGTCGAATAAAGCATAAAAAACTACTGTCCTCTACATTTCACATATCAACACCCATGATTCACTTGGAAAGCCAGTAAAATCATCCAGCAACGCAAATAAGCAACGATTAAAGCTTACCGGTGAGTTGGAGTCTGGACGTAGTTTTGAAACCGAGTAGCTTCACGATGCACCAAAGGAAGCAGGGAGCACAAGTCAGAGATTCGCAGGGAGAAATTCAGGCAGAGTAACAGCGGTTCTAAGGAATTTGTTTGAAGAGAATGACTTCGGTTTAGAGAATATTTAAGGAAAAACAGGCCCTCGACCCCTGACCGTTAGATGAGGCTTGTGGAGATCTAACGGGAGGGATAATTTTCCCATATCGAACGACAGCAAAGCAAAGGCGGGAAAACGAAGGGGCGTAATCCAATGGCTCACATACGTCTTTTGAAATAAGGCCTCACGTCAGCATAGGGAAGTGACCAACGCGACGGTTGTGTTCCTCAAGAAAATCCGAAGCATCCAGACCATCATTGCGGGTGAAGGCTTGGGACCGGTTTCCCACACCCGAAGCACGGAAGGACGACTGAACCTAAGCTCGAGGCTGTCTAAAAGAAACCCTCGACCTGGGGGGTAGCTGTAATGGGAGAAAATATGGAGGACACGTGGAGGGGGGACAACATGACACGTAGCCTTAACCTCTCCTCGCAAAGCAGAACCCTCGACGTCTGGGACCCCCTTCCCTTCTGTCGTTAAGGGCCCGAGTAAGAAGCCCAACTTAGGGCGTCGATTTCATCTGACGTCGACAGGTCGTACCGTCGACCTTACAACATAGAATCGCCCCTACGGGGGATAGAAAAAGGTTACAGCTGTACACAGAGCCTTAATGGGAGACTAATTGGCTGAGTGAACAGTGCGCAAAAAGTGATTAGTGGGCTACGGGCTGGGCCTAGAAAGACAGACCACTTGAGTGTTTGTTCAGCCTACAGAAGAAAACCCCTCCAACGAAGGAAGCTCGGCTATAAAAGGAGAGAAACCTCATACGGAAAAGAGGTTGGTCTTTCCAGAAAAAGAAAGAACAAAAGAGCAATTTGTAAATTGTAACACTCTAAAAAAGGAATGACAAACCACAGTGGATGTAGCTCTTCATTTTATAAGAGTGAACCACTATAAATCTTGTGCTTTTTCCTGCTTTAAGTATTTTTTTCTTATATTGCCTACTACACAAAAAATACCACAGGCACATCAAACCCCTACACATAACCTATTTTTAAGCCGGTAATCTGACGGGAAACCCAGAAGTAAACCGGCCTGTTTTTGTTGGTGAAAATTCACCGTCAACAATACTAAAGTTAAACTCCAAAAGAACAAGCCCTCAAATATCTCTCTCTTTCTTGACAAGTCTATCTTATCTTTCTCGATCGGCGAGCCCTAAGCCCCAGCAGCCCTAGCTCTGGCTAGCCCCACCCTCATTGTGCCCAATCTCGACGACCTAGCCTCTCTCTCGCCTGATACTAACCCAGCCCTTCTCTCTCCTCTCTAAGGTGAGCCCGACGCGGCCATGCAACCACCGACGATCCTACTCCATCGTGATCCAGCCCCTCCCTTTCTCCCCGTCACAACCCTGCCCTTCTCTCCCCATCGCGATACATCCCCCTCTCTCTCTTCTCTCTCCAGTGAGCTCAGTCATGGCCACGCAACCACCGGTGAGCCCGACCCCACCTGCGTGGGACAAAGGCGATATGTTGAGATCTACCATCACGATTTTGCCCTCTACTCAATGCGATTTCAAGTGACGAAGCTCGTCATGGGGGGAAGGTCCGGTTGAGGTTGTTCATGAAATCTAAAGATCATGGTCGGATTCCATGTGGGGGAATGTCCAGTTGGGGTCGAATGATTTAGAATCTAAAATTTCTATGGTAGAACATTTTCTTTTTAAGCACTAGTAGAAACTTCTGCTTTAATAGTTGGATTAAGTTTTTAGATGTTTGACTTATGATTCGAGCATATATTACATGTTGCATGCTATAAAATTTTCAAATAACTTACAGACTCACTAATGCAATACAAAAAGATGTATCCTTTAAGGTATGTTGGCATCACCTAAACGTCAAATGAGGTAAAATTTTTAATTTTTATAAGATCCATTGACGGTGGCAGATTTGGTGTGTTTTGGTTGAAATAGACCAATAGACAAGAATCATTACTTTCCCACAATGAGTGATATTTTTCGGCCAAATTTCATCGTTTAGGTTGCGTTTTTCCATTTTTAATAATTTTCATTTTCATTATAGATTGACCTATAAATTTTGAATTACAGATCTAATTGCATTTTTTTAATTTCTTATATCTGGTAGCTTTAATTTTTGTTTCCTATTCAATTTTTTTTTAAAAAAAATGTATTTTTATTATTTTTAATTATACAATCGGTTAGTTACATGTTTCTATTTTGTTTATATATTTAGACGCCCATTTGTGGTAAAAATCAATTTAGCTTGATAAAGTTTTGAGATTTCTCTCATTTTCTCCAATTTTCAATATTCTTTGCAAATCTACAAATTTTGTTGTAAATTTCCGGTATTCGGTGTAAATTAACGAACTTTGAACCAGTTTTCAAGCACTCAATGTGAATCAATAGGTTAACTAATTTAACCCTTTCATTATTGTTTTTTATTATTCTAATTAAGATTCCGCTACATCACACATAGATCAAACACTTGAAAAAAAAAAAAAAAAAAAAAACCAAACAGTTAAAACAGCAACCCCTATCTACCAGTAGTTGAAAAGCACAAGTCTTTTGCCAATATTAAATCGGGGGGGGGAAAAAAAAAAAAAAAAAAACAGATGAGCAATTAATAAATATTATTGGCGTACCTATAATTTTTGAGATCCAAACCCGCAAGATTGGTAAGTTCTGCTAATGCAATCTTCCAGTTGTTCACCCTTTCAAAGTCATCATTCAAACACATCTCATGTTTAGCAATTGCGTCCCCAAAGGTTCCCGTTTGTTTTCTCACGTCAGAGGGATCCACATGGTAGAAGATTGGAATTACAGTCTGACCCTTCGTTTTCATGGAATCAAGAATCTTGACGAGTTCGTCTAAGCACCATGTCGAGAAAGCATAATTCGGTGAGAGAATAACGACAGCGCAACTGGAATTTTCGATCGCTTGAAGCAGTTGTGGAGATATGAAATGGCCTCTCTCGATTTGATCGTCATCTATAAAGGTTTCGATTCCTTTTTCAGACAAAGCAACTCTTAGATGACCCATGAAGTTCTTACGAGTGTCTTCACCCCTAAAGTTTAAGAACACATCATACTTTCTTGAACAATCATGATTAGGAACAAGATCAGGAGATGTGGAAGATGATACTTCAAAAGGCTGGGCTTTTTCCATTTTTTTTTTTTTTTCTTTTTCCGCCTTGGTTTGCCCAAAATTGAAGAACATCACTTGAATAAGGTCCTGTTTCTACAACTCATAGATAGGTATTAATTTATTATTATTATTTGTTTATATAATTATCTGATTCAAAGTCGTTAAGCGTGTAGTTGACTCATTTTCTTACAACTAGTCTAAAAAAGAAATAAAGACAAAAGCAAAAAAAAAAAAAAAAAATATATATATATATATATATGAAACAAAAGACAAATAGAAGATTTTAACTTATTTTATTATGTTTTAAATTAATTATATTTTATTTTGTTTAATTTGTTATTAATTTAATTTGGTTATTTCATTTTTGTTTAATTTTATCTTTATTCATATTATCTACAATATTTTTATTTGAGTAATATCGAAAATTTGGTAAAAACAGTGCTGAAATAGGAAAAATCAGACAACAAATCATTTCAAAATTCATAAATATAATAATAATAATAATAATAATAATAATAAATGAAATCGGAAATGTTTCTATGCCCTCCGATCATAAGCATGAATGGCCGCGATTGGCGCTTGCTTTCCACGCGCAGATAGGGGCGCGCTCCGAAATCAGACGTGGCAGCCTTTCGCGTTAGGCGTGGCCCACCACAACCTGGTCCCAGCCAATGAATACAGACACGTGGCCTGGCTACCCTGCATCCGCGTGCATTCCAATGCAGCGAGGTCTATGTGAACCTCTCTTTTTCAGCCAATAACACGTTGAAACCTGGCAACAAATTGATACAATGAACTGTAAGGCCCCACGTGGATTCCACTAACGAAGCATACTAATCAGTAACTGACGCGTGGCGAATTTAAAGAAGATTTGTACGCCAAATCTTTTTCCTTATCAGCAAAAAAAAATGTGATGAAACGTTTCGTTATAAATCCTAAAAAACTATTCAACTTTAGTAATGTCACGCAGATATTTGTTAATTTTTTTAAACATTTCTTTCTCTTAAGTTGATTCGAAATGTCATTTCTTGAAGGTTTCCTTTCATCAATTTTATTATAATTTCTAGCAAAAACAATTCCATATTAATTAGTGGCTAGACTAGTCAACAACATAACAGCTATACTCGCAAGGTGAAAACCGCGTAGCTTACTTATTACGAGAGAGGGAGAGATTGAAAACCGCGTTTGTAAGATGTTTCCTAATAACACATTACACATGCTTGTATTCTATCCCAAAAAATAATAATAATAATAATGTCTACACATATGGATTTGTCATACCGTCCCATACAGGGACACTCCCACCATCACATGATGAAATGTTCATCTTAAATGACATTTATTTAACGTAACACCGACCGACGTTAAAATTTATGAGATACAAAGATAATTAAAAATTTATGACTAATATTATTATATGTTTCTAGCATTTGCATTATGTTAAGCAAATAAATTAAAGTTTAAAGTGCTATGAGAGAGCTGGAGATAGTTAAATTTGTTAATGTCATGTATCTTTCTAAAATTCTTTTGTTGTGTTAAATGAATATTATGTTATGTTAAACATTGTACGTGTTAAGTTAAATAAATGTCATTTTACATTTTTATTTGTACGTGTTACAATGAGCGTCCATCAACAAGATTGCATAGAGTTTTTCTTTTCGATGGTGGATTCTATAAAGGTATTATTGTCTTTAGTTTGTGTTGGGGTATATGTCTATAAATCAAATAAGATGTAAAAAAATTTTGCTGATTATTAATGACATGAGGAATTTTTTCAATATTATTTTGCATGCATGTGATGTTTTATAAATATAAAAAATCCCTAGATTATTGTATATGTAACTTTAAACATTGCATATAAGTATTATATGCAGACGATAATGTTTAAAGTAAAATAATCTAAATTTGTTCGTAATTATAAATTAAAGTTGGGATGTTTAATTTAAAATTACTAGTGCAGTTCATTACTTTCTAAATGAAACAATCTTATCCTAGATTGTTAATAATGAGATTATTGGAATGAAAGCTCTTTATGTAATATGATTACATAGGACCAGAACGTGATTAATTATGAATCTCTAATAAATTCTGTTATTAAATAGAGCATTCAATATTAATCAATGATAGTCATATATGAATTAATCTTAATTCTAAGTAATTAATAGACTCCTATTTATGATATTATGTTCTTTAACATATTGAGTAATAACACATATGAATAGTGTCAAAGTCTTGGTATATTGAGAGCATAGTAAAATAAATAGCCCGGAATATTAATTTACAAGTTGAAATCCATTCCTTCGTAATGAAGTAGATAGACGGTTCCCATAAGTGTTGATTTGGGGCTTGAATAATAAGAGTGCTCAATTTTATGATTGGATCAAAAAATACATTATCCATTAGATGATCAATGGTACTTATGGAGAAAGATATAATTAAAGACGTCAATAGAAAATTCCTAGCTTTAATTATGAACCGTTTATGGAGGATTAATTCGTATGTAGTGACTATATCAATGGACAATACAAATTCCGTGAACATAATTGTTTTATAATTTTAAGAGTGCAATTCTAAATTTATAGTGGAGTAATTTAGAATTAATAATTTTGATATATTAATTAAGGTGTTGACTAATTGTCAAAATTTTTGGAGCTTAAAATTATAATGTTCATAGTTACTCTCAATGGCTCCATAAGATTAATGTGAACTATATATATCATATTGGGTAATGTATATTAATTTTGAATTTTGAATTTTGAATTCTAAATACACATATTAATATTAAAATTATTTTTAAAATATTTTAAATTAATATAGATGAATCTAATCACTTTTATTGAAAGAATGAAATTTTTTTCACACTCTTCTAACTCTCCACGTTTCTCATCAAGAGAATAGTTTTAATTTTTTATTTTTATTTTTGGCCAATAAGGATTGGCCATAATAGAAATAAAAAAAAAATAAAGAAGGAGGAGTGGGACTGTGGGAGAAAACGTGTTGTTGCACTTTCCACATCATGAGGAAAAGAAAAGCAAGTGTGTGGCTGCACATTAATATGAGGAAGGATTAATTTTATAGTTTTTTGTTTTCAGGAATATAGAGAAGAAAAGGTAGGAAGAGAAAAAACCTATTGAGAGATATCACATACTTTTGAGAAAGTGAGTGATAATCATAGGTGGCCTTTTCATTCATCCATTTCATGTGTTGAGAAACTCATTAGAACGTTCACTCATTCAAGTTCACGTTAATCTGGAAATACATTGAGAAAGAGCCGTGGTGTTCTTGAAATTTAAAGCTCAAGACGGTGTTAGATGAGTCAAGATTAACGTCCTAATCGAAGGACGGTAAAATTCATCTTCTTCTATGAAATAATGATCGCATTAAATTTTTATTTATGTGATTCGATCGATACCACGCTTCCGCACAAATTTTTTTTTAAATCCGGTTTAAGAAGCCAACAATAGGTATTAGAGCGGTCTTTATTTCATGCTAATTTAACGTTTGATTATGTGATAATTCATGTATGTTTAATGGGTAGGCACTTATGCATATTGTTGTGGGCGAAAATGTGGAGGACGCACGGAAGAATCACAATATGACACGTGGCCGTAACTTCTCCTCGCGTAGAAACAACCCTCGACGTCTGGGACTCCCTTCCATTCCGTTGCAAAGGGCCCAAGTAACAAGTCCAACTTAGGGCATCGATTTCATCTGGCGTCGACAAATCGTACCGTCGACCTTACAACATAAAAATCCCTCGTCATAAAATCGACCGCCAAGAAGGACAACTGGGATAAACAACACTGGCGACGAAGGGAATGCTCCTTGGGAGAAAGCTTGAGATGGCAAGTTGTGTACAGTAACGGGGGATGTCTACAATGCAGGCATTAATTACAAACCCTTGAACCCCCCCACGAGGGACAGAAAAGGGTTACAGGTACGCACAGAGCCGTAATAGGAGACTAAATTGGCTGAGTGAACAGTCCTCCAAGTGATTAGTGGGCTACGTCTGGGCCTAAAAAAGAAGAGCACTTGAGTGCTTGCCTACAAAGGAAACCCACACAGCGAAGGAAGCTCCTATATAAAAGAGGCAAAGCCCAATACAGAAAGGGGGTTCGCGTCCAAAAAAAAGAGAAAAAAGAACAAGAGAGCGATTGATGTAAATTGTAATCACCTCAAAAGGAATATACAACCACAGTGGATGTAGCTCTGATTTTACAGAGTGAACCACTATAAAATCTCTTATGTTCCTTTACTTTAAAGCATTATTCTTCCAAATTGCTCATCTCTCTAAAAACATCAAACACCTCCGGCACAAAACTCATACATATAACCTATATTAAAGCAAGTAATCCGACGAGAAACCTAGAGGTAACCCGGCCTGTTTTTGTTGACGAAAATTCACCGTCAACAATTGGAGACTCCACTGGGGAGCGAATGCGTTTTACCCCCAACAACAACATAGTCAGCAAGCATGCCTCCAAGAAGAAGAATTGAGGCCATCAACCAAGGCAGCCAGATGGACGAGACCGCCACTCATCCAATGAATGACAGGATGGAGGAAGGTCCACCCCTGGTCAGAAACGAAGTCCCATCCCCAGACGTGCCACGGCCGGATCCTGTACAGATGCAGGCCCAACTAGCCACTCTAACCGATCTGGTACGTGGACTAATGATCGTGGTCAAACGCTTGGATGGAAGAAACTCTATGTCACCTTTAGAAGACGCCCCGAGGCCGCTGGGACCTGCCGTGGCTGAAAACCCCAACCCCGGTGACTGCCCTCATATCTTAGAAGAAATCGGGGATAGTGAGAATCATAGGGACCAGCCTAGGCCTCGACCTTCCCAATCCTCCGGCGGCCGATTAAGGGCCGCCAGACTCCGGGCTCCCAAGGACCAGATACCAAGAGGCCTGGGAAACCCCGAGGTACTACCCCAGAACCCAGGGAGAAACCCACCGGGAAACTCAGGGTCAGTACAGACGGGCGGGCAGGCAAGAGGCGGACCCAACGGTCAAATGGCAGAAGCGTTGAGAGTAACTGGCTCGGCCATCTCAACAGAGGAAGCACGCGCCATCATGGAACGTATGGCCAGCCTAGAGCAAAAACTCACAGGGGACGTA